AGACATGTCCAGGTGTCTCTGTGATGGACTGAGACATGTCCAGGTGTCTCTGTGATGGACTGAGACATGTCCAGGTGTACCCCACCCCTCACACTGTGATTGGTGGATATGGGAACCAGTGACCCTGAAAGGAAGAAGCTGGTATAGATAATGGATGGATGGGAATACGTACGCTTTGAAACCATGTATTTATTAATAATAGAACCTTTCATTTAATTTATGATTTGTATTTTTTGTTTGTTGAATTTATGCTGTTTTTTTTAAAGAAATGGATAAACATAACTAACTAACTTATTATATTGTATACGTTATAATAAACGCGTGTACAGGATATCATTTAGCGCACCTTAATAATTAAGAATGGAAATAATTATTTCCTGTAGGTTTTCCTAAATCGAGTGCATGCAGCGGTGAACCGGAGCTCTTGTTTTAGCGCAGGTACAAATGAGCTGACAGTACGGAGGAGGCTTCCACAACACATCGAGCAGTGACACGCAGAAGGCTGATGTTTGGTCCCAAACAGGAAATGACATCATCTCCAGTTCCTTTAAGCCTAAAAACGTGACAGTAAGACGGTGACATGATGGTGAGGTTAACTCTCGCTCTCCTCTGGGATGTCCTGCAGGTCTGAAGGGTCAAAGGTCACAGTTAGTGATCAGTAGAGGTCAGGGCTGGTCACCTCAGGTATTAATAATCAGTTACTGACCTCTAGGACTGTCAGAGCGTGGAGAGATTTTCATCACTTCCTCCTCATTTCCTTCCTCAACACCATCTAGTTGGTCAACAGGATCCTCCGTGGCCAATGGAGCGAGGGGGGCGGGCTCAGAGTCCCTGCTGCTGGACTTCTTGTTGACCTGGTTCAGTTAGGAAGACACACCAGATCTTAGCCTCTTCAGGGTCGGTGTGGAGGCTGTGTGTGTTTACCTGGCTCTCCAAGCACACCTGTTCATCCTTTGACACATCAGCTTTGTTTTTATTTTTGTTTTTTTTCTTCTTGCCAGACCCCGCCCCCTTCTTGTTGGACTCCTCTGCCTTCAGACGCAGCCGTGCCAGCTCCTCCTGCAGAAGCTCCACCTGACGTCGCAGAAGCACCGCGTCTCCGCTGGCGTCCATCCCTGCGTCCCGCGACATAGAGCGACTAAAACGAGGAACGGGGGCGGAGTCTGGGTTGGAAGAAGGGGTGGTGCCAGCACTCCCAGATAGTTCCAGGATGGAGTCCTGGCGAATCACAGCAGCCTGTGGGTGGAGTCAGTAATACAGACAGACTGACACAAAACTCTCTGAATATTCCTGATCCAGAACTCCCAGAAGTCCAGACTTTCTGCAAGTCTTTCCAATAATCTCAACCTTTTGGACTTTGGCTGCTTTTTCTCTCAGTCTTAGTTCCTGAGAAGCTGTTGTGAAGCAGAGGGCAGAGTGTTTTAAAAAACAGGAAGGAGTCCATGAAACCCAGAACCAGGACCTGAGTGCTGAATCATCCAGTTTGTAGCTAACACTTATTTAATATCACTTTGTAGGAGGAACTGGAACCGAATGTGTCACTGTGACAGAGTTCTGAGAACAAACATCCAAGTTAAACTTTGTTCACTTATCTGTTAACTTAACTAATTCATGTTTGGTCAGGAGCCTTTTTTACACAACGAGGTTAAAGTTTAAATTATTCCTCTGAACATGTTCAAGAACAAGGACTGAAAGTGACAAAATGCAGCCGGAATCCAAATGAAACTGGAAGAGCTCACAGAGCCTGGAGAACTGTTGATGGAGGAAAGAATGGACCAGGACTGTGGATCACAACTGGACATAGTACAGATGTTTGTGTTTTCAGACCTGCAGAGCATGAAGCTGCATGCTTAGGTTGACTAATCGCTGATGAACTTCCTGTGAAAACAACAAAAACTGTTAACTAATCACTAATCAGAGCCTGAAGAGACACAAAGCACAGAAAAGGTTTAGTTACCTCATTCAGGCTCCGTTCCTGCAGCTGGTTCCCATTTTTGTCCTGAACCGAAACAAAAACATGTTCAGCACACCTAAACCATCCATCTGATTCAGCTTTTTTATTTACCTTAACCTAACTAACTAACTAACTAACTAACTAACTAACTAACTAACTAACTAACTAACTAACT